GTTGACCAGGGGCATTTCTTTTGTTATGAACCAATAGCTTGTCAGTTTCATTGGGCAATCCTGAGTTTAAAGCTGTTTCTATGTGATTCATTATTTTGCTTGACTGCAAAGAATCCCCCCACCCACATCTTTTCTTTGCTTGACTGCAAAGATAAGATTAACCAATATATACTATAACATTCAAGGCGGGGGGGGATCTAGATAAATCACACATATACCCCAACTATAGTTTGATTCTCTTTATATAAAAAAAGTTCTGGATTATTTTGTAGTTTTGAGCACCCACTTGTGTTTTTGTTCCTGTCCATGTACAGAAAACACACACAACCCTGACTGGAAATGCACTGGCAGGATATTGCTTTTCTTCTGTGTACGCTGGTCACATTCCTGCAACATTAGTCTGAAAACAAACAAGACGGAAGGACGAGTTATCTTAATAATGTGAATAACATAATGAATATCCGCTTGTTTATATTTTCGTAGAGAATATTTTTGTGGCAGAAAAATAGTAAAGGGAGGCTTAAGTAACCAAAACCAGCATGATCTGTTTCAAAAGCCAACGATATCTAGATCTGAGTCCAGTAGCAGCTTAAAGACCAACAAGATGGGTTTTTGGGTAGGTCTCTCATGTGCTCCTGGGCTCGAACCTAGCTGTCCTACAGCCAGAGGTCATTTCAGGGGGGAACGCGGGGGATCGCAGTTCCCCTGGGTGAGGTGCGGGGGGCGGGGCACACGACGAAGCCCCGCCCCCTGCTTCTGGCCGCCCTGCTTCCGGCCCTCATTCAGCCAGGAGGAGGCAGGAGAAGAGGGAGGGTAAGTTGCTTCCTCCCCGCCTCTCCCCACCCCTGCCTGCCTGGGGCCAGGGAGGGCCTTGGCGGGGCTTCCTCGCACTCCCGCCGGCCTTGCAGGTCCACCGCCGGGCCCCTGATGTCAGGGGGTGTGGCATATGCTAATGGGTTATGCTAATGAGTTCCCCTAGCTCTTTTTCTACGAAACTACCCCTGCACAGCAGACCAACACTGCTAACTTCTGAAACTGTAGATATCTAGGCTTTCAAAAAGTGGCCAACATTTCCAGAACTGTGAAGGCATTGAATAATTTGAGATGAAACTTATTGTGTGAATAAAATAGGATAACCCAATTTGTTTATTAGTTTATTTCATTTATAGATTCATGCTTTATTAAGTATCTTCCTGTAGGTAAACCCAGATCTCTCGTATTGTTTCTTTGGAATTTCTGAGAACCTACGGAGCTCCTGGCCAGGGTCCATAACACATCCCCAAATCTCCAGGAGTTTTTCAACCTGGATCTGGGAACTCTACTCCCCATCCCCTACCAGTGGCCAGGGGGAACCTGGAAACCCTGTCCCTGATCTTCATCAGGGTTGTTTCACATCTTGTTTGATCTGGCTCTTCATTGAGGTGGAGTGATTAGATCCATCCATTATGTTCTAACATGCACTGACCTTTCTTTTCCTGACGCAGGTGCCACACATGCACCCAAGCAGCCCGTTGACAACTTGGATGAAGCAAAGGACAGCTTCGAGCATGCCGATTGCCAACAGGAGGGAAAACAGGACCACGTTCCAAAGGATGATGTTTTCCGGCTTTTTGCAAATGCTCCATGTGGTCTGGTTAAACAAATAATTATCCCTGCAAAATGGAGGAAGTTAAATTGGGTTTTATTATGCATATGCTTAAGTGCCATCAAGTTGCCGACCCACTTGTGGTGACTCCAGCAAGGGGCTTTCAACAGGCAGAGGTGATTTCCCATTACCATCCTCTGCAGAGTCTGTCTTGGTGGTCTCCCATCCAAGCACTGACCCTACTTAGCTTCTGATATCTGACAAGATAGAGCTATACCATGCCACCTTCCCTCTGGGTTTTATTAGAAAACTTCACTGGATTCTGGACACTTCTTCATGAGTCTGTTTGGCGTGTGCTTCCAGAATGGAACAAAATAGGCCCAGAGCATTGATTCGTGCAGAAAAGCAATGCTTTTTTTTTTTGAAGGTGTATACTCGGAGCTTACAGAAGCCTTTGATTTTTAAATGTATTTATTTTTCGTTGCGTTTAATGAGTATTGCTGCAACATATTCCTTCCAACACACAGTTTGGAAAGTAATGGTTTACACAATGCAAGTTACACCAATCCTAACAGCTGATCAGCACATCTTTCCCCTGATCCTAAAGCTGAGTTTTCAGGCTGGGAGAGATTACTTGTTCGATTCTCGCCTCTATCGTAATTTGTCAGAGTTAAAGATAATCATACTCAATCATCCCAACCCTTGCTCTGTTTAATTATTGTACGGTTCAGACATCATCCCACATCACCCACTGAAGGAAGCATTCATATCCATCACACTAAGAACATTATACTTATATCTTCCAAGCTTACACTTGCAAAAAGATAAAAGGCTCGCTCAGGACACCATGAACTTGGAGGGAGACACAAGTCAAGGTTTAGATATTGCAAAAAAATGTCAACAACGATGCATTCGAGGAAACATTTAAATCTGCAAGCCTCCGTGTGCAGAGAAATTTCTGCTCCCTTTGGAAGAATCTGCAGAGCCAACAGTTAACTCTGTAACGTCCTGATTCTAAAGAGGACTTTGCACAATTTGATAGTCTTGCAGACTATGCCCATTTCCCCTAGAACTGCTGAAGATTTACACAAGTCGCTTCATGCTGACCAGTGCAGAGATTTAGCATGTGCCACGGGTGGGTTTCCTTCCCTTTTGTTCCCTCCCCACCTAGACGTTCCATCCCGTTCACTCCCTGCACACCTGGACTCCTTCTCACTCCAGCAGGTGGAGTATCGTCTAGACCAGGGGTGTTGAACTCCTTTGTTATGAGGGCCGTATCTGACATAAATGAGACCTTGTTGGGCTGGGCCATGTGTGTCATAAAAGGTAATGCCAGGTAGCGGAGATATAAACTTTATAAAGGACACAAACACAAAGGGTTTTTTTTTACTTAAAATAAAAAACATGCTTAAAATATTAGCTCTGTAAGCTGCAAACCTACTTTTGATTTACTGACATTCACCACAAAAATCTTATGCTCAGAGTTCTGAGTCTAGGACCCAGGTTAAAACATGAAATGGCTGAGTGATTAAGGGAGTCTGGCGAAGCAAGCTATGATGCAGCAGCAGCAGCAGAACTGGAAGCAGGAGATGGCCAGTTCCACTGCGGGCCTGATGGAAGCCCTCCAGGGGCCTGATCCGCCCCCCAGGCTGCATGTTTGACACCCCTGTTCTAGACAGACTGGCAGCAGCTCTCCAAGGTCTTAGGTAGAAGTCTTTCACTTGCCTCAGACTGGAGATGCCGGAGATTGAACCCGGGACCTTCTGCATATCAAGCAAATGCTCTATCACTGAGCCATGGCCCCTCCCTATGGCTGGGCAACCTGGCAACTATATCCTTTCTGCCTGTGGGGTCTACCTCTTCTGAGCACAGGCTTCATACCGCGCCTCAGTTCTACTCACATGAAGGTGCTGTTCCTGAAAGGGTAAATGTATACCTCGTCGCCAATATCACAAAGAGGGCCATTAATCAACCCCAAGGAGGAGATGATCACACAGTACACGCCGCCAAAGGCTCCCAACACAGCAAAGAGGACAGAGAGCAGCATCTGGAAGGGGGAAAAGGGCCAGTCTCTTAGCCTTATTAAGAATCTGGAGGGAGAAAAGTGATGGGGAGATTTGGAGCACAGACGTGGTGGGAAAGGGTTAAGCGTCCCTCCTCCATCACCACCACTACACAAACAATCCTCTCCTGAAACTGCATTTCATTTACAAAATGGAAGCTGGGATTCTGTTTCTCTGGCTTGCAGGCAAAAGAACGATACCAAACAGGTTGCTTTGGACATACTCAGGGATCAATAAGCAGAACGGGTGAGAACTTGTTGGAACACTGAAGAACATCTCTGGTAGATAGGGTTGCCAACCTCCAGGTGGCACCTGGAGATCGCCCGCTATTACAATTGCTCTCCAGACAACCAAGATCAGTTCCCCTATAGAAAAGAGGGAGGACTCTATGGCATTCAATCTCACTGAGGTCCCTCCTGTGCCCAAACCCTACCATCCCCAGGCTCCACCCCCAAAATCTCCAGGAATTTTTTTGGGGGTGGAGCTTGAGGAGGGTAGCATTTGGGGAGGGACTTCAGTGGGGTATAATGACATAGAGTCAACCTTCCAAAGTGGCCATTTTTCCAGGTGAACTGATCTGTAATAGCAGGAGATCTCCAGTCACTACCTGGAGGTTGGCAACCCAAATCTCTCCCGGCTCTAGACAAGGGTCAAAAAATGCCCTTTTCAGACATGACGTCCCGGCAGACCAGGAGTCTAGCAACCACACATAGAGATTCTCCCAATGTGTAAAATTGCTGTGTTGACTGAACAGGGCAACATTAATACTTTGCATGTGCATGCACATGAACCAATCACAGGCAGCATGCACAGGCAGTTGCCAGGCTCCCAGCGCGCATGGACACAAGGGCTAATTCGGGCTAATTCGGGCTGTGATGGAATTCCCTACCGGGAGGGAGGGAGGGAGGGAGGGAGGGTGCAGAAGTCTTAGTTCTCATGGCCCTTCCTTACACACTCAGGGAAATGCTGATCGCCACTTTGGGGTCAGGAAGCAGTTTTCTCCGGGCCAGTTTGGCCAGGGATCCTGGAGGGTTTTTTGACATCTTCTGGGTCTAGGTGAGCAGGGGTCAGTGGGGTGTGTGTGTGGGAAGTAGCAGTGAATTTCCTGCATTGTGCAGGGGGTTGGACTAGATGACCCTGGAGTTCCCTTCCAACTCTATACTTCTTTGACAGTTCAGTAATGGCAGAATGGTCTTCTTCCAGCTTGCCAGATGTTATCCCCACCTCCCATTTAAGAACTGATTTCCCCAGTTTGCAAGTAAAGCTGCTTACTCCACATCTGTTACCGCAGCATCCTTCTCCGCCAGCGCCCAGCATCATAAATGCTGGCAATAGTATCTGAAAAAGACAAGAAAAGAAAAGTTTGTGTGTACATTTATTCCCCACTTTTTAGCAATTTGGTCCCGAGCTGATTTTTCGGTTCTCCTATTTGTTCAGCTGCTGGCACGCTTCGTCTTTATTGAGGCAACAGTTACCCCAGGGGAAATCTTTCTTTCCATACTGGAAACAGGATGTTGGAACATAACAAAGGAAGTGACATCAGAATGATTCAAACAAGGCAAATGAGGGTAGGGTTGGTGCTCCAGTGCTCTCCAGGGAATGAGTTCTAGAACAACTAGTTCATAGCTAATTTCATAGCAGCATGGACTCTAATCTGGGAGAACCAGGTTCGATTCCCCACTCCTCCACATGCAGCTGCTGGTGTGACCTTGGGTCAGTTATAAATTCTTTCAGAGCTGTTCTCTCAAGGGCAGTTCTCAAGAGCTCTCTCAGCCCTACCTACCTCACAGGGAATCTGTTGTGGGGAGGGGAAGGGAAAGGAGATTGTAAGCCGCTCTGAGACTCCTTCGAGTAGTGAAGGGCAGGGTATAAATCCAATCTCCTCCTCCTCCTCCAATAATAATAACAATAATAACAATAATAATAATAATAATAATAATA